ATAGATCCAAGGTATTTAGGGTTGTATGTGCACCATAGGATGTTGTATTATACCAAAACCCAACAGTAACATCCTAAAAATTAGGGTTTCCTTCACAGCTTCCAACACGCCGTGTTTAGACACCAACATGCTATGTTAACCTTAATGAGAACCATACTTTTCCTTAACTAGACACGCCGTGTTGGTTCCTCCAACACGTCGTGTCCAGTCCTCAAAATGGGATTCATTCCATACAATTGCTCCTCAAGATTCCGAGTGTTACATATTAAAAAAAAAACATAGCAATCTTCTTCTTCACAATGCCAAACACCAAATTCAGATGAACTCATTCTCAAGTTTTTACTTTTCTAATGTACTTCGCTTACGATGGATGGTAGATGCATATTAATAGTGTGATGTTTTAACAAAACAATGTATGTCCGGAATGTGGGTCCGTGAGTCCGGAATATGTGTGTCATGAATCTATGACATAACTAAATGATTGATTCAACGTTTTGAATGTTAGTCCAAAATATGTGCATTGGATTGTGTGACCTTCAATGTTCATTGGAATGGAAATTACTTATAGAACTTCGGAATGGAAACAAATCAATCACTACCATGGACTCAGAAGAAGAGATCATGCTCGCTTGGTCTTGGATAATCATTGAGGATGATATTGTTGTCACTGGTCTCCCATGTTTGATGCACATATCATGTTGGGTCCGCTTAAAAACAAGTTTCATTATGAGTTATATTGCAGAGAGTATCGAACAGAAGAAGTGAAGAGTACATTTAAAGACATAAGCTCAAAGGTGAAGATGTTTAATAAAATTTATCACACAATCGATAATGAATAATTAAATGACGATGAAGAAGTAATTTTACCGTTAGCTAAGGTGCAATACATAAACAAAAATAACGGGGTTAATTTCCCATACGAAGATGCTTGGAATATTTTAAAAGATGTCCCGTATTTTTTATTTGTTGGTTAAATATTTGTATGGTTTTTATACGTTATGTATTTTGTTATGGTATTTTTGAATTATATATTTTGTTATTTGTAGGTTAAATAATTGTATGATATTTCTAAAAGAGTTTATGGTATATCTAAATTAAGTTTTTTTTTTCTTTGTAATATTTAAAAAATAATATGGAAATAACAATTTCCATTAGTCATTCCAATATGATAACAAACATAATTAATTGTGATAAAAATAAATATATGGTTACATAGGGATGGAAATAACCATCAATGAGTCTGGTATTTCGCATTCATATTGAAGGGAAATAGGATCCATATTTTGTGTCTGGTATATACATCGAAACAAATCAGCCCTGTAATATATTTGAACTATATGGTCTAATTATGTGATGTTTGAATAACGTGATGCCGCAATAGCATGACCACACGCGATACCGAGAATGTGTCATTTCCCACATGAAAATATGTGGCGGTTCAGATCTACAAAACAACTTGTTTAAAAATAAAAATAAAAATAAAAAAATGTTAGATAAGATCTTGGACGGGATCTTTATTGTCTGCCACCGAACATAGTTTTGCATCCTCCTGTGAAGCATCATCTCTGCATACGGGGTGAGTAATCCATTGAATGGTAATTTTATAACTAAATAATAATTCAACATATTATAGTATTTTACCTCCCATAAGAATGCGTTGAACAAAAATCCATTGAATGTACTCACGAATTACCTCAATAAGCGTTATTATTGGTACATTCCGTTCATTAACCAATAACAATACGAGGAATTCTGAAATATTAATGATGAGTACATTCAAATGGATGTTATGGAAATAGGGTCTTGACTATTTCACATGATCGATGTTGGCAAACACCTCATGTGTATCATAGGTTAGCCGACATAATATTTGTTGAAAATCAGACATAATAGATGATTTGCATGTACGCTAGAACAAAGGTTCAAATGTTTTGTTTCGACCAACTCTTATGCACATATACATTGTCAAACTCTTACAACAATACCCATGACAAAACTAATGAATGCCTAACCTAGGGAAAAAGTAATGACATCGTCCATATTGGTTATGAACGATGCTTCCCTAACATCCATGAGAACTTCCTTCAACCTCATCAAAAACTAGGAACAAAAGTCCACATTATTTGTCATGCCCAAACCAAATGCTATTAGCATGGTGTGCTTGTTTTCGTCCATAGAAAGTACTATGAACATTGTATGTCTGTAGGTAGTCCCGTCTTAGAGGGACAATACATATAAAGATGGCAAACGACAAGCAACCTATGAATGCATGGACTTGTATTTTTTTGGGAAAACAAAACAATTAGTTGTAATAAAATTATAAATTTTAAATAAACAATTAAAATATAGACCAAACTTATTTTACCGCACATCTAATAACCACAAAACGGAGTTGGAAACGATATATAACATCAGTTTTGATGTCCGTGTAACTGTGAGGGTTCGTCCGCTCAAGGTTTGCAGGTAAACAGACAAGTTGGTAAAGTTTTTTTCGTGCTCACTGTCTGAGAAACTCATCTTTAAGCAAGCAGTTACAATAAAGAACTATATATGACCCAAAATAAGTGAATAACTAAATGAAATACCATATGTTATATATAGGGAAGAAATACCTAGTTTTTTGGTGTCTGGAATATGTATCTTTGATTCTGGAATGTCAGTTTTACATGTAGGTTATTGACTACCGTATTCCGGAATTGACTCTGTCAATCCGGAATGTACCGTGTCATATTTTGGAATCCAAACTCCAACTACCAGCAAATACTCCATAATTAATACATTTTTCTCTGAAATGCCCTATTCCGAAGAAAGTAACAATTTTTTCAAAAGTTAAAAAAGTTGATTATCCTTCCTAATAAATGAAAATAATTTTGTCACTAGTCCATCTCTCATAAATTTTGACACTTGTCATTTTATAATATTTTTTAAATAAATAATATCCACATGTCAATTTATGAGTTTGTTCAATTTTTAAAATTAAAAAGTCATATAATACATTTACTTATATATGTAAAGTATTAAATGTAATAAATATGATAGTAAATTGTAATTAATATGTTTTTTTATTGTTTATTTTTAAAATTTTATTTTAAAAAGTACTTATTATTTAAATTTTAATATTTAATTTTTTTTAATCAATCCGTATAATATACGGGTTTTACACCTGGTTATTAATAAATTACTTGAAGTTAGATTACTCAATTTAAGAAAAAAAGGTCATATTTTTTGACGAACTTATTATTATTATTATTTTTTATTTTTTTTATTTTTTTTTGAATTACACAATTCTAAACGTGCTTCAACAAGAACTTCCATGCAACCATTTTTGACACAAGGTCAATCAGTTCCTTCAAACGTGCTTCTTCCCATGGCAGTTAGGCAAGAAAAGGGGATTCATCATTCATGGTAACTAAACAATAAATTCAGCTTTGAATGAAATCGGATTACAATCAAATTCGCAACTTCAATTACCCTAGAAAATTTCCCCAAATTCTGAAGATCTTAATCTTTAACCTAATTTTCGATTCGGTTCTCAATCAAGTTTCAAAAGAATACAAAATCAATCACTACATCTGCACACAGAACCACAAACACACAAGATAAAGGATAAGGGATTATTTTCCACAAAATAATTTTGTGAATTCTTTATTCGACTATTAAATTGACACCATTTAAAAAAGGAAAATTTATCCATACTTTATCTTCCAGACTTCTTCCCTGTTAAACTCCATTTATTCACTTCTCTTGATCGCCAAGAAACACTCGACACCTAAAAAAAAAGGTACAACTATGGAAGCCAATCAGCGAATTGCAAGAATCGCAGCTCATCTCCACCCTTCAAATTCCCAGGTTTTTCCCTCGATTCTTAATTTCATAGCCACATAATTCCGGTGTTATGTGATTCTATAGATTCTTGTTTCAGCTCACATGACCCGTTAGGGTTCTTCATCTGCTACAATCTGAAATCGAATTTACTGGTTTCGACGATGATGGATTGATGTCTACTGTATTAGCCTGTTTCAAATCTGAATTCGACTAATGTCTATACCTCAATACGGATGAGATTTGAACTATAAACCCTAATTGTAACTTCAATCTTCGTTTTTTATTGAATTATGTACTCGAAGATGGAAGGAGGCTCTGTACTGGAGCGAGCTAATTGCAGAGCAAAAGGAGGAGCGCCTGGATTCAAAGTTGCGATATTGGGAGCTGCTGGAGGGATCGGTCAACCTTTAGCTATGCTAATGAAGATGAATCCATTGGTTTCTGTTCTTCATCTCTATGATGTCGTCAATGCCCCTGGTGTCACAGCTGATATCAGCCATATGGATACTGGTGCTGTGGTAACTTTCTTTTCATCACTACTTTCTTAGCTATTTTGTGAAATGTCTAAAATGCCCTTGATTCACCATTTTTTGTCAGGTGAGAGGTTTTCTAGGGCAACCACAGCTTGATGCTGCACTTACAGGGATGGATCTTGTGATCATACCTGCTGGTGTTCCAAGAAAGCCTGGAATGACAAGAGATGATCTTTTCAAGATTAATGCTGGAATTGTTAAAACCCTTTGTGAAGGAATTGCCAGGTGTTGCCCTAATGCAATAGTCAACTTAATCAGTAATCCGGTCAACTCTACAGTTCCAATTGCTGCAGAAGTTTTCAAGAAAGCTGGCACTTATGATCCCAAACGCCTTCTTGGTGTCACCATGCTTGATGTTGTTAGAGCCAACACTTTTGTGGTATGCAAGCAATTCTTTATTCTTTACAAGTTTGACTTTTGTTGACCATGCTAAGAGATTTTTAATTGATTTACTTTTTCAGGCTGAAGTTTTGGGACTTGATCCAAGAGAAGTTAGTGTCCCTGTGGTTGGAGGACATGCGGGAGTTACCATTTTGCCCCTGCTTTCACAGGTGAAGCCTCCATGTTCCTTCACTAAAGAAGAAACTGAATACTTAACAAAGCGCATTCAAGATGGTGGAACTGAAGTTGTTCAGGTAATAAAAAGTTAAAACCACATCATTTTTTTCTCTCTTTAAAATTTTATTTAACTATTTATAAACTTATGATAACTAAAATTACAATTTCAGGCAAAAGCTGGGGCTGGCTCTGCAACACTCTCAATGGTAAGCCTTATAAGGATTAAATTTAGTGAATATTGTGAAATTTGTTATTTTAGAATGTAAGGGTAAAATGGTCATTTAGTAAACGGTTTATTCAGTCTAGAAAGGAAACAGATTTTGTGCATACAACACTTTATCCAAACAAACATCGTTATTCCTTCAGCCATTTTACCCATACATGACTCAAATTCTTATTTTATATTAGAAGTCCATGAAATTAAAATAGAGAATTTAACAATTTTACAGGCGTATGCAGCGGTTAAATTTGCAGATTGTTGTCTTCGTGGCTTAAGAGGCGATGCTGGCATTGTGGAGTGTGCTTTTGTAGCTTCTCAGGTATAAAATTACTATAATACCCTCGTCCCACATTAATACACTTAATAAGCTTTAATTGGTTAAGCACTTGATCTCAACAACAATACATGGTTGATGGTTGTTTCTTTTTGACTTAATGGATTAAGCCAAAAGAACCTGACATAATGTATGTATACATCACATTAGGGTAAAATGGTCATTTAGTCTAATTCAGATGATTTATTCGGTCTAGAAAAGAAACAAATCTTATGTATACATCACTTTATCCAGACATCATTACCTATTCAGCCACTTTACTTATACATGACTTAATGGAAAAAATAATAATAATAATAATAACTTTTATAAATCTTAAGTTTATGAAGTTTTTTTTGGAAAATGTTGGATAATAGGTGACGGAATTACCATTCTTTGCAACCCAAGTGAAACTAGGGCGTGGTGGTGCGGAAGAAATATACCAACTTGGACCTTTGAATGAATATGAAAGGTAAGACATTGATTGAAACACAATTTATTATTATTTATTTATTTGAATGTTGGGTGAAGTTAAGAATTTATGTTTGATTGATTTGCATAAATAGGGCTGGATTAGAGGAAGCTAAAAAAGAATTGGCAACAAGTATTGAAAAGGGGGTTTCTTTTATAAGGAAATGAAAGGGTGGTGTGAGAATGATGAGGTGGTATACAAGTGTTGATTCTATTATCATGGCTTTCTTTGTTACTTCATGTTGCATGTAATGTATGAATCCAAATATACATAAAATAGATGTATTAGAATACTTATATCACATATTATATTCTAATCTTGTTACTTCTTGCATCTATTTTATAAACCTTACAATCTCTAGGTTTAAATTGATATGTAAACTAAAAAAATGTATTTGATTATTGTTGGATATATTCAAAATGTTGATCATTGTATACAAATAAAGTTATGAGAACTATGATCAATGGAAACATGTTCTACTTAGAGATATTAAGAGTATCTTTGGAATGATGAAATGGAATCTTGAAGGAATGGAATGAATAACATAAGGTAAGCCTTTTGTGTGTAGTGTAATCATAATGGAATCTTGTTGTTTTTTTGTTATAGACAACAAGATTTTGTTAGAAAAAGTTGTTGAAACTAAAAAAATTTGTTAAAGACACTGTTTTGTTGTTGTTTTTCATTTTTTTTTTTGTATTTTTTCTTAATAAATGAAAAATATGTTGATGTCAAATCATCTAAAATTATGCATCGTATCTTAAATTATAGATAAAGTGTCACATAAGCCCAAAAAAAACTTGTAAACATATTATAGCTCAAATCGATAAAATTACAAAAAAAAAAATTGCTATTTTGAAAACAAATGAACAATTCTTAAAAAATTAAAAAAAGCAACAAAATACCATTTTTAACAACTTTTTCTAACCAAAAAATACCGCATTTAACAAAAAAAAAATACAAAAAAGTTGTTATCATTGTCTGTGTTAAAGTTGGATGATTTTACTAGGAAAAAAAAAACATCACACTTTATCAAGATAATCTGCTAAATCAGTAATAGTAGGTTATGGTGGTTGTATTGAATTCATTTTACAAACATAGATGATTTTTTTAGAAAGCTTAAACTGGATTATTAATAGTTTAATAATTCATTCTGCATATTTAACATTTGATATTCAAAGTTTCAAACTTATGATCACACAATCACCAACCATTTACGAGCTTTACTTTCAAACAAATGAGTTCATAATGAAAGGTCAAACTGCCACCCAATGAAGATATTTTATATTTATTTTTAATAATTTTTAATTAAACATAAATCTGTTGGAACCAGATTTTTGGTCCACTATAATATATTTATATTACTTAGAGTATCATAATCTCCTTAAACCATTGACCTAAGAGGATTACCGGATCTCTGCTGATATAGTAATTAATTATTATTTTTGGATAATCAATTATTTTTGTTGATAAAAAAAAGTTGTATTATTGAATTTAATGTCATATGGTATTCAGGACAATTTCAATAGCCAAACACATTACATGACACATTAATGATGATATGATACAAAGTATGCATGCGTATGTTATAAAACGATGACACATTATAAGTTGTGACATATTTAAGAACGAAAAGTGAATTAAGTAATCTATTTAACAACACAAATAGTTTATTACCCAACTTAATACCAAAGTGATATTGGTTGTTATTATAACAATCAATTAACCCTTGATATATTTTATCAAAAATGATGAGATTTAGTTGAAAAGATAGAGAAATATTGTGTTATGTTTTCCTTTAAAAAACAATATTAGGGCTATCAAGATCGGGATCTTATATATGATCGTTTTCCGATTTTTAAGATCGTGATCGTAACATTGAACCGAGATCGTAAGATTCTACCAAAAGCATTTAAAACATAAAAAATATTTGTATCAATTAGTTAAACATTAAGTTAACAATAAATGATTCTTCAATGCATCATTTAATAATAAACAATTTAAAATAGGTTTTCTAGGGTTCATATTCGATTTAATTAGTCCAAGACAAAATATTAGAAATTAAAAAAATACCAACGATCATACAATCGAGTCTACGATCCTACGATCCTACTCTGTTTTTACCCAAAAACGACTCACATATGATCTTGATTGATTTACCTAGATAGGATTGTATTATCCTACGATCAATGTCATGATTTTAACAACTTTTAAGATTTCGATTATGGTGGCAAACCAGGTTGATTTTGTTATTTACTTGATTAAAATCATTTCTTGAAAATTAAGATATTTCTTTAAGAATTTACACAAATAATGGTAGGCTTGTAATGAAGAATCAGTTGTAACAATTTAAAGGGCAACATGCATAATTGCATATGCATAGAAAGTAATTAACTTTACAAACGAAATTTGTGATGTATAACTTTAATTAATTTTATTTTGGGTGGGGTAAGGGGTCGTCATATTTTTACATAAAAAAAAATAGTTGTCTTGTTTTAAAATTTAAAAGAGTTTATTTTGATACATCATAGTCAAATTATAAAAGATTAAAAATAAAATGTTAGGTAAGAAGATGGCAACATATGGTCAAGGTCAGAAATTGATAAATCATTATTCATTCCAACTAATTTGAGATACAATAAACATCTTTATCTTAATATAATTATATATTGCACTAAAATCAATTCAAATAAAGAAAAACAATATTCTAAAACATAAAATACCTGTATGAATATACATAAACAATAGAAACTGATCTATTCTCTCCAAAGTATGAAAAACAATTAAGAATTTTTCCATGGAAATTATTACAAACTTAATGCATTACCATAAATCAAGATTTATCAAACATATTACACAACAAAAGAGACATTACTAGACCTATAAAGCACTCATCACCAAACACTTCAACTGATTCATACTCCTGTTTTTTCATCCATCTAAAAACCCTATCAGATTCAAGTGAAAAGTTACAGAAAAAAATGCCCACAAATTTATAGCCAAAGAGGTTGCTACTTCACAACAAAAGGATTGTTATCATGGTCAACAAGTCAACCATGAAAAAAGTTAGAAAAAAAAATCCTCTTGCAAAATAAACCCCATATCAAAACAAGGTTCTAAGGCATCAAAATGGTTTAAAGTGATAGGAAAACCGAGGCTTTTCACTCACCATTTCAAAGAAAAAAAAAAACAAAAAACAAAATGAAGAAAAATGGTATAAAAGAGGGAATAATCTTCACATAAATTGCTTGAGAGCTAAACGTAGATTCTTCATGAGGTCTTTCATTGCCATGGAAAATTCTTTATCCATCTGCCAAAATATTCATATGGGTTTTAATTATTTCGACTCATATGCAATATCATGAGATATAAAAATGAAAATTTAACCATATTTTTGCATAAAAATGTGAATTTTTTTACAATTTTGATGTATCATTGCGAAAAATCAACAATCTTTTGCATAAAAATGTGAACTTTTCACAATTTAGAGGTAACAGAATAAAAAATTAACCATCTTTTTGCATTAAAATATTAACTTTTTCTAACTTTGAGGCATTAAAATGAAATACCAACCATCTTTTGCATAAAAATATAAACTCTTTACAAATCTGAGTAATCAAAAATGACAAATCAACCATCTTTTTGCATAAAATTTTGATTTTCTTTTTCATTTTTGAGCCATCAATATTATTTTCTTTCAATTTCAAAGGTATAAGAATGAAAAGGCAACCATCTATGCATAAAAATATGAGCTTTTAACAGTTTTGAGGTACCCAAACGAAAAACCAACCATCTTTTTGAATAAAAATATAAACTTTTTCCATTTATAAGGTATCATAATGAAAAATCAACCACCTTTATGCATAAAAAATGTGAAAGTTCCACAATTTTAAGTTATGATAACGAAAAACGAACCGTTTTTTGAAATAAAAATGTAAACTTTTTACCTGAGCGATAACCGTTATATCGAGTGCATAATTTGCAAAAGTCATGGAAGTGCTATTAATCACAGATAGATGAAGTTTCTCTATTTCAATCAATGTCTTTTCAAGAACACCAGACTTTTTCTCACAGTGAATTCTTATCAAAACATCGTTGCCAAAAAATCTTGCCTCGATTTCAGGGAGTTGATCATGAATGGGCCCACCAGAGTTCTCATTTGATGAAGAACTTTCATTAACATCAGCTAACATTTCATATCTTTTAACAAAAACTACTGATTCTGTATTTGGTCTTTTCTTGATTTGTTCCTCAAGTGTCTTCACTTTCTCTTGTAGGGTTTTCAAGTGCTTGATTGCATCTCCAAGAACAGAAGCTTTATCCATCTATAAGATAATCACACTAATTAATACCAAAATCCCATAAAAAAATTAAATAATTGGACCATTTTACAATATTGAGGTATTGTGATGAAAAAGCAACCATCTTTTTTTGCATAAAAATGTGAACATTTTACAATTTTGAGGTATTAGCATGACAAATCAACCATATTTTTGCATATAAATACAAAAAAATTACTAATTTTAAGATATCAGACTAAAAATCAATCATCTTTATGCATAAAAATTTGAACTTTTTACATAAAAGTACAAAAATTTTACAATTTGAGGTCCGTAAGTACTAATTTTGCATAAAAGATATGAACTTTTTTTCTTTTTACTATTGAGGTATCAGAATAAAAAATCAACCATCTTTATGCATAAAAATGTGAACTTTTTACAAATTTGAGCTATCAACATGAAAAATCAACCATTTTTTTAACACTTCACAACTTTAAGGCATTTGAATGATAAATCAACCATCTTTTTGCATAAAAATATGAACTATCAAAAACCCATAAATATTTTCAGATAATTGGAGTAAAAAAACTCTCTGTAATTACTTTTGAAGAAGATGAAAAGGAAAGAAATACTACCTTTTTAAGGCCAGGAACCAAAGCAGATAGAGCTATGAACCTCTGACTAAGTTTCTCTCTCCTTTTTCTCTCAGCTAATATATGATCTTGAGCTGGGGTATGTTTGCTACTATTTTTAGCAACATCTAACCCACCATGATGACCTTTATTAAAACCAGAGCTCTCTTGGTTGCTAAAATGGAGATGAGTATCACGAATAAAGCCATGTCTGCTCTTTGAAGAAACTGTCATTTCTTCTTTAGGCGTTAGGAGTGTTGCTTGTTGAGATAGATTCAGATTCATTAAGGAATGAGAATGATCAGTGGTTATGGAGGAATTCCAGCTGCTTGTTTTGAGCTGTTTACTTGGTCTTGAAGATGGTTCCATAACAGGTTTGTAATAGTCAAACACGCCTAATTGACCATGGATACGATCCATGTTGTCTCCAAACGTACCTGAAATCGCCATTGAATCTAGTTGATTGTCGAATGAATTGACTGGACATTGGAAATTGAAAGAGGCGTCTTCCATTCCTGTCAATTCTGATAAGTTTCTGAAATGTGAAATCTCCATTTCGTTTTGACTGAATTACACATATCAAAATATACACAGGAACGTTAGATTCTGAAACCCCAAATCAAAAATCGCATTTAATATGAGAATAGACGATAAGTTTTACCTTTTTGGTATAAAGAACAGAGCTTTTATTATTTTTTGGCTAATCGCTTTTGTTATTGAGAGATCAACTTAAGTTTTATAGCTATAATTTAGAAGCGAGTTATTGATCTTCTCTCTCTAGGGGTTGGCAAAATGCACTGGACACGACTGCTTGAATAAGAATAAAGACTAATTAAATCATGGTTGGCGATTGATGGTATCACTTGGATTTTAAAACTAATTATGCAATGTGTAATAATTAAGGGGTTACTCAAAGACTTTTTCATGAAATTATTGGTGGTAAACTGGTGATTAGGCTTTTTTTTTTTTTTTTTTTTTAAATCAACCAATGTTGAGTCCAACCCTTGAAGATCGTGGATGTGAACCATTGTTTGAATTTTAAATTGGGTTGTTGACATGTGCAGTTGGAGCAACTCCAATGGTTGCTTTTTTGTTGAATTAAAGGCCATAATCAATTAATCATGACATTTCATCATAATCCAAGATCAATTTCTCGTAAACATTACCAAACTTAAAGAATGTTAACTTGGATGAAATGATATCTTTGTTGGTGTTGAAGATAATGTAATGTTATGATTCTTCGTTACTTCTTTCGTAATGGTGTGTTATGATCATTCCAATTGATAGATTCATGCATTTGATTGTGGTGTTTGTAGATACAGGTTAGTGTGTAAGAGTAGAAACATTGGGATGTCCTATATGTTATCTCATATTTATGTGTACATATTTTTTAGAAAAGAAACAATTTTATTAAGCTAGCAAATAGCAAAGAACTAAGCAAACCAAAACAACTATATGAAAGAATAACAAGAATGAGATTTTGAAGCAACCCAACCCAATTAGGTTTTAGACGCATGTACTTATGAAAAACTCAAAAACCCGAAAAGAAACAATTTTATTAAGCTAGCGAAGAACCGGGCTAACCGAAACAACTACATGAAAGAAATAAGGGAAATCTCCAATGAAGTTCCAACATTTTGGGTCCGTTTACGCAGGGCCGGTCCTAGACAATTTTGGGCCCGGGACAAAAAAAAAATCGAGGCCTTTTTTTTATAGAGGGCGGCACCTCCGAAAATTTTTATTAAAAATAATACAATTAAAGGCTGGGGACTCCCCACCAATGGAAAGAAAAGACTTTGGGACAGGCCCCGGAAGCCAAACAACCTAGCATCTATCAATACAAAACAACAAAATAAAAAGGTCACTGAACCCTAATACATAAACATAACAAAGAAAAACTAAAGAAATTTACATTCATGAGCTTTTTTAGATGCAAAGTGATAAAAGGCAACCAACAAACAGATAACAAGCAACAAACAAAATAAAAAATAAAAAAAAGAGTTCTTTTGTACCTCTTATTGTTGGTTGCCTGTGATACTGATGCTATGGGTCTGTAAATAACTTCTAAGCATTTTCCAAATGCCAATTGAAAAAGCTCAACAGTCACAGCAGAAAATTTTGAAATTAAAAAAAGGAAATCAGATTAAAATGATGAACATTCTTACATTCAAAAACTGAAATTAAACAAATGAATAACAAATTAACTCTAAATAAATCGAGAGGCCACTTACAGTGAGAGTTACAGGGATTCACAATCAATCAATCAAAAGGGCATAAACATGGATTTGGATAAGTTGGATTCTCGAATTCTACACAACATAAAATTCTAAAGATAAAAAAAAGATTCATAAAAGAGTAGAATATCAATATAGCACAAATTCACAGAAAAAATAAGAAATTTCAATTCAAGGCTAGAAAGTACAACTTACAGAAACATAAAAAATTTCACAAATCACAAATTCACAATCAGCAATTTCGGTGGGAATACTCAGTCTCAAATACTAATGTGACTTCATCTGTGACTAGCAATTCTCGGAATCATGGAGCTGCTCCCCCTTTTCTCTTTTTTAGTTCAAATTGTTAAGCAAAATGATGTTATATTGTTTGTTTATTACTCTTTGGTTTGTTTGGTTGCTCCCTTGCTCAGCTTCTTGCTGCTGTCTTGGTTTTTTTATATATAATTATTCGCCGTTGCAAAAAAAGAAGAAGAAGAAGAAGAAGAAGAATGTCGATTTGACAATCAGATGCCCTAAATCAGAAATCAGAAAAGATGGAGAATGGGAGAAGAAATCAGAGATCGAGATCGATTCAACTGAAATTGAATAA